GCCATCTCTGAGGCTGGGCTACAGGAGGGCTTCCTGGAGGAAGAGACACCAGAGCAGGGAAGGAGGGGAGAGGGGCCTCTGGGCCGGGCCTGGCCAGAGTCAGGGTGCAGGGGTGGGCAGGCTGGCGGCCTGTGCAAGGAACAGAAGCAGCACGGGCGGGAGGAACAGGCATACACCTGCTCACTTGATCCTCTGCAGGCCTCCCTGGGTTGGGGCCACGGTCCTCGTTCTGCTATATGAGAACGCCCAAGGCCCGGGTCTCATGGTGACATAACAGGCCAAAGTCAAACCCCAATGTCTGGATTTGTGGCCTACTGTCTTCCCTGCAACAGGGTGGTTTCTGAGGCCAGGGTCTGGGGTCAGAGTTGCAGCAGGTGAGAGACTGGAGGGGGTGCAGAAGCAGCATGAGCTGCAAGAGGTCAGGGACCAAGGGTCAGGTGCCCGTCCCTGGAAGGAAGAGGGCTGGGACCCAGGGGACAAAGCCAGGGCAGGGGAACCCTCAGCTGGGGCCAGCCTCCCAGGGCGAGGCCAGGTCAGGGGCTTTGGTTCAGGCCAGTTGGCCCCTTCCCAGACCTTCCTTCCAATACCCCAGAGAACTGGAGGCAGGAGACAGGGGTGCCTGGGAGGGAGAACCACCTTGGGAAAGGGGAGCCCCCTTCACAGGATCCAAACTTTGTTGGGCAGGAAGATGCTTCCTGGAGCTTTGGAAGGAACTGAGAAACACGGAGTCCTGGGGTCGCTGCCAAACCCAAAGTTCGCTCCTCAGGCGAATGCTGTGCGGGGAGAGACGCGGGGAGAGAAACATATGGAAAAACCAGTGTCTTCCACATTGCTGGGAGAGGCAGCCCCCCTCCACAGCCTGCTGTCCCGTTTCCTTTCTGTTCCCTCCGGTGCCTTCCAGGGACAGTGACTAGAGTCTCTATGGCCTGGCTCTGAGAGGCCTCTGACCCTGGGCACCAGGGTCATCCGGGCCCCTGCCTTCAGGGGGTCACAATGTGTAAGTCGAGACACAGGAACAGGAGGTATGGAACAGGGACCATATAGCCAGAAGGCAAAGTCACTGACTGCCTGGGGAGATCAAGGAGAGCTTCCAGGAGGAAGCAGCCATCGAAGTAAGCCGGAATTAGGCCAGAGTAGAAGAGGGGATGCAGGCATGTTTCCACCTATGCATCTATTTGGGATGTTGAAATAAAAGCACAAAGAAATGGAGGCTCAGAAGTGTTACACGAGTTTTGCCCAGGAACACACAGGAAGGAAAAGGTCAGTGAGGTCAGGATTTAAACCCAAGCACCAGCCTGAGACCAGGGTCTGTGTCTGGGTGCACGGAGCCACTTTGATTCCTGAAGAGACTTCCCAGTAACCAGGCTAAGGAACCAGGGAGGTGCTGGGAAAGAAGAGGGGCTTGCTCATATTGGGACCTGACCTGAGGAGTGGGTCTTGGGACAGAGAGGAAGGGACATCCTCAGGGATGTGGGCCAGTGTCTCAGGGGCTGGGCCAGTGAGGGGAGGGGAGGGGTTGGGAGAAGGAGTTGACTGGGGTTCCAGACACATCATACAGCAGGACCTGGAAACCTGCAGACTCTTCCTTCCTGAGGCCATCAGCGTTCCCTGGGGTACGAGGTGTGTGCATGTGTGCATGCATGTCTGAGTGTGTGTGTATGTGTGCATGCATGCCTCAGTGTGTGTGTGTGCATGCATGTCTGAGTGTGTGTGTGAGTGCATGCATG